GACATGCTGCTCTGTGGCATCGGAGCACTCAAGTCATCATCCCCTTCCTCCTCTTTGCACATGCCTGGGTTCTTTCACTCTTCCTGGGAACCCATGGCTCAGCACAGTTTCCCCTCCCTTTCTCTGCCCAGACTTGGCCATTGACGTCCCTGGACATGGGAAGGTGGTGATTGACATTGGCTATGGAGGCGCTTTCTATGCCTTCCTCAGTGCTGAGCAGCTGGGCCTTGATGTGTGCTCTTCAAAGACCAGAGACCTTGTCAGTGCAGCAAGTGCGGTGACAGAAGCGGTGAAGAAACAGGTATGGCACAACACTTTGGTACCCTGGCATGTTCCCTTTGGGAACAGCAGACTGGGGCCCTGTATTCCCCCAAGATGCTCAGGACAGGAAGGAGTTCCATCCTTTCAGCCCTGTGTTGAATTTCAGAGTCCTCCTTCAGCCTCACAAGGATGCGAGAAGGAGCTCTCCTCCCTGCTGCTGCATCCATCTCTGTTACTGGAGAAGCAGAGGTGGAAACACAGCAGTGTGGCCTCATCCCCGTCTTCTGGTCTCTCAAGGGAGCTGTATGCACGACCTGCTGACCGTCCAGCATATGCTGATGAACCTGTCTGTGCTTTTCCCAGTTCAAGCTTCATCACCCTGAAAGTGAAGACCTGGCTTTCCTCTACGGCACCATACTGACAGATGGGAAAGATGCCTTTAGTGAGGAGCCCACCACCAACATCTGTGTGTTTGCAGATGAACAGGTACAGAAACAGGCTTTTCTCAGGCACATGAGACACCACCTTTTCCCCTTCTTACGTTCACTGCAAGAGTCTGTTGTGCGGCTTCTCCTTTGGGGCAGCGATGATGGCTTTGTTACAGTGATACCTCCGAAGAGCTCAGTGTCTGTGCTGGTTTAGTTCCTAATGACAGAAATACTTTTGCACGTCTTAGATGTCGGCAGTTTTAAAAAGGTTTATACGCATATCCTGTTGGTAGGAATTTCCCAGGAGTTCAGAGGCTGAGGGATCCCAGAATAGTGCATGTCCTCAAAGTCCTAATCTAGGGAACAGTTGCTGGGAATGAACAGAGGAAAAGAGAAAATAGGAGGTGTAAACTTCTTTGTCTGCTGTGGATAAGGTATCGCATAAATAGCAGAGGGAGTTTTGGTTGGACTTACCAGCAGTGAACTGTGGAGCGCTGGGACAGATCGCCTCTGAAACTGGCCGATGCTGTGGTTTTGGAGGTTTTAAAAACCGGGCTGGCCAGCAGCACTCTGAACGTAAAGAGAACTGATCATACCCTGACATGTGAGAATGGGGAAGGTGGCTCCATCTTTTTGCGATGATTCTGGGGAGCTTTCAAATGCTCTCTGAATAGCCTCAATGTCTATTAGATCATTCATCCCTACAAGTTGGCCAGAGCTAAGCACAATCCAAAAGCACTGCAAAGCTGCTTATTTTGTCTTCTCATTTATGATGTATCCTGATTCTGTACAAAACCCTGGACTAGAGGCTTTTTCCCTGAGTGCAGTATAAAGGCAGCAAGGAGAACTGAGGGGAGCAATATTGTTTTCTATTAAACCCCAAAATACTAGAGCTTGTTTACTTTCTCTTCTGAATATAGGTTGACCGAAGTCCGACAGGTTCGGGTGTGACAGCTCGCATCGCCTTGCAGTACCATAAGGGACTCATCCAGCTGAACCAGACCAGAACCTTTCGGAGCAGCACCACGGGGTCCTTGTTCACCGGGAAGGCAGTGAAGGCAAGTGGCTTGTGCTGGACTTCGTCTTGAGCACTGCTGGAAAAGTGCTGTTGCCTTGGCTCAGTGGAGAAGCAGAAAAGCCTTTTCTGTGCCTGGGGAAGGGAGTATGGAAGGAGGGAAGTGCCTGAGGGTCTTTCCTTCCCGCAGGCGTCATGCTTCAAGATTTTTTTCTTAGAGAAATAAGGAACAATATGACCTTGTTCTGTTGAATGGCTTCCCTGCAAATCCTCTGTTGGCCATCAGGAGAGGACTGGGATGAGAGATATCTCCCATGAGAAATCAGTCTGGTCCAATCTCAGTGGCAGCTAAGGGTGGATTCCTGGTTTAGTCCCTTCTTCCCTTCTCAGAGATTTAAGTGCATTGAGCAGAGATATGGAAGCTGGGTCTGTGCATCTGGGTTTCCAGGCTCCAGGGCATCTGGTAGCATGTGGCTCTGAAGGTTTGGACATGCCCCAGGGAGCTCTCAGTCTTTGGGTGCAAGCAGCCACGAGCTTGTTGGCCTCATTTGAGGCAAACTCAGGCTGTGGCAGTGCAGGGGCTCACGAGCTCAGAGCAGGGGCAAGCCATAGCTGTGCAGGAGCTCGTGCAGGCAAGGTGAGGCAGTGAAAGGGTGACTGCCCACTTTGGGAGGTACCTGGGCAGAGCAGAGTGCTCAGTGAGGGGTGTCTGCGTAAGTGCCAGGCAGCACTGGCATTGTGTCAGGGTAGGAGAGCAGAGAACCTCCTGTCACCTCTGTCTTGATCCTAATCCCTCTGCAGGAAGCCAAGTTTGGAGACTACAATGCTGTCGTCGTGGAAGTCTCAGGAGAAGCCTTTTACACCGGTACAGCCACCTTCACTGTCGAAGAGGAGGACCCGCTGAAATACGGCTTCTTCTTCAAGTGATCTGAGCCACTGGGCTGTGGCAGTCTCACTGATGGTGCTGTGCTTCTCCTGCCCACGCATTTCTGTTCTGCTTCTCCACACAGCTCATTGCAATATGCCAGAGAAACAGGAAGAGCGATTGGTGGTGTGACAGCATCTGCTGTGTTTCAGGATAACAGGCTGTGTTCCCCTGTTGTGATAAGCATATTGGGTACAATGTGATTAGCACGTATGGGCTGCTCTGAGAAGCCATAATCTTTTTCTTCTTCTTTTTCTTAATAATCATAGAAAACGGAGCTGATTTTGGAGAGCTATCTTCAAATTTATGTGCCTTCTGCAAATGACTGATTTCAAAGCCAGATTCCTATTAAACAACAACTGAAAACACTGCCTTTCTGCTCTTGTTTTCACCCCCAGAGCTCATTTTCAGGACTCTACTGAGTGTGTCGCAACCGTTGGTTTGAATTGCTTGCTCTTCCTCAATGCCTCCTACTTAGCTGGAGGTGCTGCTCTGTCTCATGCCCCAGCTTTTTTCAGGCACCTCCTTCTGCACTGCACTGGATGCAGGTATTTGCTCTGAATTTGCTACCATACAGCTCTTTTTGCATGTCTGCTACTATACAGTCCACGCTGCTTCCCTAAACCTTCCTCTCTTGCTTATCTTGGACCTTTGGCTTCAAATACCCCATGGTTAACTTTCAACAGGAGCAGCTGTATTCAAAGGTCTGAGCCATTATGACCTTTGATTAGTAATGATTTACTGAAGATTTTGGCTCAGCCCAGGGGGCAGCTTGCAGAGCAGAAGGCAGTCAATGCTTGCTTTGCCAGAGCACCCTGAGGGAGAATTGCAGGTGGAAAAACCAATCCAAGCCCTGGGCTGTAGGCAAGTATTTGCAGTGGCTGAAGCAGGGCTCTGGACCACTTGTGGCCTGTAATTTCCACTGTGTCTCTGGACAAAATGGTGTTTCTTCATTGAAGACACTCATGGGAGTGGATCTTGTTAAAATGAGACATGAAAATGAGAATGATCATGTCTCAGTAGGTCATGCAGCAGGAGGGAGCGAGTCCTACTGAAGACCTTGGAAAAGGCTGGCATAGAAAGGCCTGAGAAGAATTTCTTCTGTCAACATGAAAATTATGACTTTGGAATAGGAAGACACAAAAATACCTTTGTTCAGAGAATGGCTGCACTGTCAACAAGTTTTTTAGGCCGCTGTCCGGCGCTCTTTCTCCTGTAAACTCCCTGCACAGCCTCTGGTCTGAGGGAGCGAGAAGCGACACATACACCCCTCATGCACAAACTCTTCATGTTTCCAGCTTCTGGGGGTCTCCCTTGTGATCAGCCCCGCAGCCTGGCGCCTGGGGGAGAACTGGGGCACAAGTTACGAGGCCTAGCACAGGAAGGCTGGAAGCTCCTCAGCCATTCATGGGCTTGCAGCTTCACTGTATTCACTATCCCCACCCCTACGAAATTTTTCACGTGGGGACAGGCAGCTCCGGGGAGGGACAGGGTCCTGCAGCCCAGGCGGGTCCCCAGCCTGACCCCTCCCCCCTCCTCAGCGTGTGAGACCCCCCTTAGCCCGGAGAGTGTGTGTGGGGGGGACGGGGTCGTGGCTTCCCACCACGAAGTGTCTGGGAGGAGCTGGCCCCTGCCCCTTCGTGATGGGAGAGGGGCTGTGGGGGAAATGGGCTTTGAGCAAAGAGGGGCCGTGAGAGGAGAGGGCAGCGAGGGGGCTGTGAGGGGAAAGGG